GTGGTAGCAGAGCAGGAGTTAAATTGTACGAGTGAGTTGATCTACATCCTCGTCCTCAATTATGGGCAGGAGCTGTGGGTAATGGCTGAAAGAACAAGACTGTAAATACAAAAGGCATAAGGGAGGTCTGTCTGCACCATTGCTGGACCCACTCTCTCTGACAGGGCAAGGAGTTTGGAGAGGGACTTGGGAATGAAGCCTCTGCTCCTTTCGATTTAGAGGAACCAGCTGAAGTGGTTCAGGCACTTCATAAGGATGCCACCTGGACAGCTCGCAGGAAGGCTATTCTGGGCATGTCCCTTAGGGCAAAATCCAGGGCACGCTGGAGTAATTAGCTGGTTTAGGAACATCTAGGGATCCCCCATAACGAGCTGGAATCGGTGGTCTGGTCTGACCTGCTCGGCTTGCTCACCAGCCGGGAGAAGTGGCGGGAGAATGAGATGAGATGAGATAAATGGTACGGCATGTTTTTTTCTGCTCGTTCCAGTGCAGAATCTAATTAAGATCTGTTAACCTGAATGCTTCTCAAACAAAAGCTCATCAGCATCAGCTCTAGTTAGACAGATGAATTACAGCAATCCTGCCGATAGAATTATGAGCGAATGGTGGCAATCAAATTTTTTGCAGTGCGGCAGATAGCAGAGGATATCAACCCAGTAATCGATTTGCTGCCAAGGTCCCTGGCTACATCAGCATGCAGCAGTGTGGTTAGCAGAAAACCAGGCGTTTAATGTAACCCCGCCCACTTGACCACAAAGTGTCCAATTATACCCACTCAGGAGAAAAATGTTGCAAAAAATGCCACATCAAAGCAAAATGAAATAATGTAAAGCTGCTACAGCAAAGATGCTCCATAATAAAAAACAATCATTTTTGTTTTCTGGTCATTACCGGTCAGTCGAGGTCCCCAATTATTGTTTTAAATGAATTCAGATTTATTTTAAAGAAAAATCCAATTAAATCGCATAATAAAATATAGTACATGCAGGGAAGGAAGAAAGTTCATTAATTATTAATGTATGTAACATAAGGGGGTATGAAAAGGCAGGAGATGAATTCTCAGTAGTGAAATGAAGTGAAGTACGGATGGTGAAAAATCTGTAGGCTGACAAGAGACTTTATTGCTTACGCATGGAATAAAACTAAAAACAATATTCTTTTAAACATTGTGTTGTGGTTTAACTGGTCCCAAGGTAAAAGCTGTATAAGATGGCTGAGACTTGGATGTACCATAAAAGAACAGCAAAAGCGAATATCTGTGTCCCTGAATTCTGTAGTCACTGTACATCAAACTTCCTGGGGAAACTATTTTATCCAACTTACAGAGGCAAACAAAAACAAAATATTTTATATTTTATTTCCCTATTGAGGGAGTCATAATGTTTAAACATGAAAAACAATTTTAACTCTGTAAGTCTAATTGTTTGCAAAGGTACATTTATTGTATGCAGATTAAATGGCTTTTTAAATATTTTGCTTGGAATATTATTGAGTTATGTTACATGGATTATCTCGGGGAGCACAGTGGCGTAGTGAGTGCTGAGGGTTTAAATCTCACCCCTGGGGTTTCGTTGACTCCCTACATTGTGAGAGTGAAGTAGTATCACAAACTTGCCCACTATAATGAACCTGCAGCCTCTTTAGGCTGACAGACTGCAGGCTGACCAACACACCAAGCATTTTACTGGTCTGTTGAGCTTTGGTATATAATTATTTTCCATGAAAGGCTTTAGGATTGTGCCAGAAAGGGATCAGTCTGGAAATATTTGGCTTTCTGATGTAGTCTCTTTTCATGCGACACCACCATTTCTGCAGGATCCCATTCCGATTTGTGGAACACCACAAATAATCAGTGATATTTCTGTTTAACTTCACTGCACTGAAATCGGTCCATCGTAAAAGTCTTTCTGTAGAGGAATGATTGTGGAACAATGATGTGTACTGAGTTTATCATGGAGTATAAATTATATGTATGTTTTGTAGTTGCAGTTTCCCCCTCCGTACCATAGATCCATACATCACATAGCCTCATTAGGACATCCAGTGTCATTCAGCTGCAAAAATGTAGATTCTTGAAAAAGCAATGAAGTGGTGCAAAGTCTATTTGAACATAAGATGATGAGTTAAGTAATGAGATTTTTTGTCTCTCATCTGATGCATGCAGAATAACAAATTTGAGCACATGTCTGTTTTCATTTCATTACTGCAGTTTTAGACATACATCTCCTAATAAAAAAAAACAGATCTTAATGTTTAATGACATTTTAATAGTTTAATAGTTCAAATGCTTATACAGAAAAAAAAATAATGCACCAATAACTACACCAGGAGAGGTGCACATGGCCGGGACACATGGGGGAGTTTATGGAGGGAGGGTGGCAGTAGAATCTCATTCACAGAAAATCCATCCATCCATCCATCTATCTTCTATAACCACTTATACTATTCAGGGTTGTGGGCGGTCTGGAGCCTATGGGCACAAGGCAGGGAACAACCCAGGATGGGGGGGGGGCAACCCATGACAGATTCACAGGGCATGTCAGACCTAATTTAAGGCAATTTGTACTTGTTCTATAATGAGTAAGCCTACGCAAAAATATTAATTATTGAAATGTACACAGATCTAATTCAGATCATATTGATTTTGTACAGCTTGTTCAGAGCGAATTTACTTGTTGTAAGCTTTTATCTTGACAGAAATCGTCACGAAAGGACGCTTTCATTCAGCCTCTTTCTACAAAAGTCAATAACTAGGGCAAAACTTACTTATAGGGGGGAAAAAAAAGATCCTTTGCAGTCTCGTCTTTTGTTCCCACCCTGGAGTGCAGGTCATTTATAGCTAGATAATCAGAGTGGTGGCTGTTTGCAGATGTTGCCATAGGAACTGATCCTAAATGTCAGGGGTGCAGTGCTGACCGCGGCCTTACTCACCCAGGACGGCCGTATCAGACACTACGCAATGGAAAGTCGATGGATTACAGAATTGTGCCTTAATTCAAATCTGGGCTGATATATACCCTCAGGCAGTTCTATTTATAGGGCTATTTTTAGAATTTACCTAAATAAAGCCAACTAATTAAAAAGGCTCTGAATAGAGGCCCCCAATGCTAAACTCATCTGTACTTCAAAGTAGTCAAACACTGCAAAGCTTGACACTAATCAGTGCATTAACTTCCACTAATGTATTTTACAGCAGTGAAATGGAGTAAAGTTTTTCTTCGCCTCACTGGACACAGGCCGAGAAAATAAGGCGATGCTGCCAATTCGGAAATGCTGCAGAAGTTCTGGAAGTATGTCTAGAAGACATGCTGTAAATGCAAACGGGGACTCCCCAAAGAAGTAGGAGATAAAGGAGAGGAAGAATGTGAGAGAAAAAATGTGGAACTTGGCTTGACTCTCTCTGTGAGATGAGAGACGCTCATAGATTCCATAAGTAGCAGGATCGGATATATGCAGCAGTTGTTATGGTTTGGGAGGCTGAGATGTAATAATCCAGAAGGGCTTTTGTGAAAGGTAGATTTGAAAGTAAGATGAACCGCAGAATCTTTCCTTATAAGAAAACCAAGGAATTAATAAGCAGAGGCAGCACACAACATATTGTCTGCTTTAATATAGAAACAGATCCATTTCTTTTAGAGACCTAAAACAAATATTCCTAGTACCATTTTCCAGTTAACTTCAAAAATATGTCTCACTTTGACTCTTTGCTTTCAGACTATATAACAAAATATCTTGAAGATGCTTGTTAAATTGACTTTGTTTTCTTTGTGGAGTGATGAAGCGAGTGATTTCAAGGTGATGTTTGTGCCGCTCGCCTGTAGAGACGAGACGGATCTGCTTTGCCTTGGGCTACAGCCTTTCTAACATGCTTTCCTGTGGTCCGTCCTGCATGCTTTATCTCCGTAGCACAGCTGATTGAGCTCTCAGGCTGGTATAACTTCCACCTGTCTGTTCAGAGCTGCTCCGGTCTTTATCATAGAAGATCGAAATATCTAGTGTCTCATGCATGCTGGAAATAACTTTTTATGAGAACATAGCTGCATTTTTTTTGAATTAGCTTTTTTTTCTTTCTTGGCATACTAGAACAGAAATTTAATTCCCAATTTAGTTTATAGCATGAGAAATTACCTACATTATAACAGTTCCATTACACAGAGATGAACTGATTGTTGTTTAATAAACAAACATGAAATACAAGGAAAACGTAAGCCTTGAATGTGACGGCAAGGTCAAGACTTTCTCCTAACATACAATTTAAATCATGTTTAATCACTGAAAAGTGTTTCCAAGGCAACAGAATATATAACAAGGCGAAAACAACATCCTGGCACAGTTGACTGTGTGTAGAATGCCTTTGTCTGTGCTTAGCTTGACATGCTATTATTGCCAATACAGCTACAAAATCGAGTATATTCACACACGCTGACACAGTCATGCAATAATGGAACACAGAGGGGTTCATTCTATTTGTTTTTGCGCAGTACAAGCAAGCTTTTGTTCCAAATGAGATATTTGTTAGATATCAATTATGTGGTTTTACCGCAAAAACAAAAAATAATTACAATAAAAAAAAAAAAACAAGCTGAGGATGTGCTTCGGAAAACACAGAGCAGGTTCTGTATCTTGCACAAATGATCTGTGGCAACAATTTTACTCTTCCCATTTCGAGCAGAACAAATACAGTACCCGCTCTCCAAAGCAAAATTAATTTATTGACGAGGGCTGGCACAAAAGAGCGTGTACTCAATTTCCCACACAGACGAGAGCAATGAGCAGTGCTCCGATACCAGGAGACTCGGGTACTTCAGCTCTTCCTGTTTAGATAATCATGCGCTTTAGCAATCACTTTCCCGTATGAAGCATGAGTCAGACCCGATATTCGAAATATGCCAAATCTCTTGTGTCAGCCACATGTTTCTGGTGTGCTGGGTTGTCAAATATTTCACGTGCGGTGATTTCCAATAAGTCAAGCTGAGCCTAAAATTTAAATCTGAAAAGAAAGAAAAAAATTACAGAAATAATGGTCAGGTGATTACCCTGTATACAGTAGATACATACTAAATGCACACATTTTGTTTATGTATCACGTTTTCGCATCTCATTGTGAAAACCTACATGAAATCATATCTTACGATCAAACAATAACATATTACTGCTGTTGATGTCAGAATAAGAACAACCTCCATAGGAGAAGGCAGTGGAATATGGACTTTATATCGTATTTCATTCATGCAGTATTCTTTTTTTTCTGGAAAAATATGTGACATTTTACAATTGCAATGATCAACAGTTCTAACTTTTGTGGCTCAGCTGCATGTGCTTTCTGAGAGAGAGAAAGAGAGAGAGAGAGTGTGAGAAAGAGAGCGAGACAGAGAGGAGGTGGAGGGGTAGAGAGGGAGGGAAGGAGAGCCACGGATTGGACGGAGAGAAGGAGAAAAAGAGGTCTCAGTTGCATTTACTGCAGACTGACATTAGGCTTATCGTCAGATAATACACACAAGCTACTTCTCATGTATAGAAGGAGTAGTTTTCCCACCAGGATTCACGATTCCTTATTCAAGCTATTCAGTTCTTTGGATTTAATGTGTGACATATCTCTCCCTGCACGGCTAGAGTTGCTGCTACTCAGGTATGTCTCCATTGCAATTTATTATCTAAATGAAAAAAGGGGGGAAAAAAGATTAAAAACAATCTTGAGAATGGCACATTATTTTCTGACTATGAGGATAGAATTTTTGCATCACGCTGGGTGAGTAAAGCTTTGAGAAAAGCTTGGAACAAATCAGCCAGTATTAGTTGCTTTGAAGGCTTTGTGTTCACCTTATGCTGTCATCCATGTATTTTGCATGTGCATGGGTATTATAGTAATGTATTCTGTGGTCAACTTTGCCAGGATGTTTTGAAAGCTAGGGTTGCAAAATATGTGAAGAACTGAAATAAGATCTTTTAGCTATTAATTGGCTTTTGATAAATTACAGTTAGAGTGGACCAATCATTTATAATAATTTACTGAGTTTGATGTGCTGAATAAATATAACGAATTATGTCTTTTAAAGATATTTTATATGAACTGCAGTTGTCTGGAAACTTTCAAGTATGATACTCACACCATCGATCCATTGAAGTACAATCTGTAAAGCGATTTGTGCATTTTTCCAAAAAGTTTTTTTCTAATTTAATAATATAATCACCAGGACATATTGAATCAAGGATTTTGTGAAGGAATCACCTCCTATTGGAAAAAGTAAAGGTCATTTAAGGATTTTTTTAAGTTGCAAGGTGCTGATACAGTGTATCATTTTCATGTGGTAGAAAAAAACAGCAATTTTTAATGCTCATATGACTCCATACTTCCATGTGTATATGGTAGAAACCTTAATGTATGGTAAACTTCATATAACGTAAAAATTCTTAAAATGTCCTAGAAAAATCTAACAAATCTAGTTTTCTACTTAACAGAACACAGAGTGCTGGCCTTCATATTTTGGATGTTAGATAAACCAATATTATTAATAAGGAAACCAGGGCAAAACAAACACCTTCACCTGAAACAAAACAAACAAACAAAACTGAAACAGAACAAACGCCTTCACCTGAAACAAAACAAACAAAACTGAAACAGAACAAACGCCTGCACCTGAAACAAAACAAACAAAACTGAAACAGAACAAACGCCTGCACCTGAAACAAAACTGAAACAGAACAAACACCTGCACCTGAAAACTGTCCAGTTATCAGAAGACATTGCTCCCTTATGCATTTGCATACTGACTTTTAAAACTGTCATAGTGTTTATTCATTTATGGCAAATTCTTCTTAACTATCTCATGTTGCACTGGCCTAATGATAACCCATGACCCTTGGTGTATTTTATTAAATGAATAGAACTGTGTAATGATGTGGAAATGAACCACTTTGATTTCCTGCCATTCAGCTGTCTTCTGCTCAGTTCAGATACACCATAATATACCCTCCACACAGTGTCAGTAAACATTGGGCCTCATTCACCAACAGTTCTTACGAACAAATTTCTTCTTAAACCCCACGTACGCACTTTTTTTTTTACAAAGATTCTGACATTCCCCAATGTTTTCTTATCTGAATTTGTTCTTAGCTTAGAACAGAATCTATGCACACTCAAGACCACTCATACGCACATTTCAGTAATGATAGTTTGTTCAAAATAATTGGTTATAGCAGTTTTGTTCATTCTACAGTTCATAAAATGATAGTATTTTAATTTATAAAAGTAAAATATAAAAAAAAAAAATTAAGTGTGAAAATTATTTTCATGGTAGTAACGGCGATCATGCGGATTATAAATAGGTCAGAATTTCCTACACAGACGATATATATATATATATATATATATATAAAATTTTGTTTCTGTTTTTCTTTGTACACTAAGGTGAAGACGATTACTACTGCAGGTTAAAGAGCTGACCCTCAGCATCCAAAGACTGTGAGGCAACCCCACTTTCCTATGGAGCCACGCTCACAATCCTACAGGTGCACAGAGAAAGCAGGAAATCCCAGAGCCATATAAGACCCTTGTACCCTAGGAGAGAGGGAAAAGGCAGACAACGACGGGGGGGGGGGGGACAGAAAGTAGAGAATCGTTCACATAGAGCACCTGTGACTCCAGGCAAATTTTATTACCCAGAATTTAATAACAGAAAAGCTGAACTGGTGCCAAGACTGAAATCTCATTTGAAGTTCATTTTGCGAATAACGATTTGGCTCTTCCAATAAATACCGGATTAGAGCCACACAAAGGTTTAAACATGTGGGGAACGTCTGGACAGAGCTGCATTTCACCAAGTGTCACATGACTCGTTTTTGGTTTATCTAAGAGGCATTTCAGTCACCAAGTACAGCTTGCATATAGTACTGATATGTTTTTTTCTTCTTTCTCTGCAATTTCAGTTGCTGCCCTACCCTCAATGAGAGCAAAAAAACCAGGTGACCTGTTTTTTCTTTCAACGGTGACTGGTAATGCACAAATGAGCATCCACTCTGCCAACTCGACTGACGTGGCCGTGCCAAGCGACCATGACTCCTTCTCGTCCATCATCGCCTTGATGCTGGTGCTGACTCTAGCCTGCTCCATTATAGTCGCATCACTAGTTACTTTCTACTGCCGTAAATCACAGCTCCAAGACAGGAAACTCAAGAAGGCGCAAGAAGAGTACGAGAAGGATCAGGGCAATAACGCCATGGAGCAATGTGGTGGAACGATGGCATTGATCCAGAGTCCGTGAGGAACATCACAGCCTATGAGAAAATGATAGTCAGAAGGAAAAAAGAAACTTCTCTTTCAGGATCTCAGAGTAAGTGCCTCTAAGGATCCCCACACTACTCTACAACAAAAAATGTGTTTCCTTGGACACATGTATATATAAAAAAGATCCAGCACACTGAAGCATTGTTTAAGTTATATATGTGCTTTGTCACTTTGTGACATTGTGTAAATATATCATGTAAAACTGACAAATTACTTCAACGGTGAGCCACGCAGAGGTCTGATGTAAGGATGGATGATGTGAAATGTAACAGGCATTCCATATTGAGAGAGTCTCCCTTGAATAACAGAGGATCTTCATTCTAAAAACTATACAATCAGCAAGTCGAAAATTCAGTGTTCAAATTAACATTACCGGTATTTAACTGTTGTATTTGGCTTGCTAAAAAAAGTGAGTGAAAATTAAAATGTGATGAAAACACATCTGAAATTTAAAAAACAAAAAAATTGTCATTTGTAATGAGTACAAGAGTGAAACGAGTCTGGTGGGGTTTTCCAGGTAAACAAAACTGGTGTAGTTACATGTATAGAACAGCATAGAAAACCATCATCTTAACCAAATAAGATGGTTGTTTCAGCTTAAATGCAAGTGTGGTATCAGTCCTAGTTAATATACTGTATAGCTCTCATTGACAAACTACACATATAATAAGGCTCACCAACGCGACATGAAAACTGCCATAACGCACAAGATCCTTAAGTATCCATGGGAGTTCTGCCACAACTAAATGATTACTCCATTGATAGACTTCCATTTTGGCTTTTTCCTTTGACCAGTTAACTATAAATTAGCCTCAGTTGTGCAGTAAAGCCGCTCTACTTCCGTGTCCAGTACCAGTTACAATTATAGCTAACACTCATGGTATTGCTGCAGGGGACGATATGGTATCACTTGTGTAAAAGGCAGACATGCTACTCGTCACAGTACAAACAACAAACATGCTTTTATTTGCTATTTGCACAAATACAGGTACATTAGAAAGCTTCTCTTCGCTGACCCCATCTTGTTCTCCATAGTTGGGGGGGGGGTCACAGAACAGGGTCAGCTAATGTGCAGGGCCCCTGGAGCTGGGGGTTAAGGGCCTTGCTCAAGGGCCCGCAGACATGTGACTGTTCTGCTGAAGCCAGAGCTCAAACCAGTGATCTTCTGATAACAGACACAGAGACACACACCATACATGGCAGCCACATTGCAGGACGGACATCTAGAGAATCGAGATGTTTTGAAGATCCACAGACTTAGATGAAAGGAGGACCCAGAGCTCTCGGGGATACTTTCTAAAGTATTTTTAAATGACGCACAGTACACATCAGGTCTCCTAGCAACTAAAACATGAATCCTCAGTATTGGCCTTTGTTCATTTCAATGAGGGTTCTGTGATTTTATTTTGTATTTTCTGTGAGCCAAATACTCCAAAAGTTTCTTGTTTACTGTGAAAATAAACTAGGTACTCTCTGTCAAACTTGGCAGGGTTTATCTAGCAAAACTATATATGTAAAAAATCCAAGGCGCTGTGTGGACAAAATAGCAGATGCTAAATGTTTTAAATGAGGCTTAGCCATACTTTAGCCAGGTATGTAGATCTCTAAAGCGAAAGGTGGCACTTGTTTGTTTCAAACGTAAATCATGTTCACAGTGTAACCATGAATCTTTGTTTATTTATTTAGTATAAGCATGTACAAGTATTCTCGTAGCAGTTAAGGCCATGATGAAAAAGTGATATTGTACCTGGTAGTGTGCAGTGATGTGATTGATTTCATTTATTCATATTCATATATATATATATATATATATATATATATATATATACACACTCACATACACATATATATATATATACACATATATATATATACACATATATATATATCCTCTGCAGATCCTTTCTTCATGAACATGTACAGTGGATGGATTACCAGTTATGTTCATTTTCAGAGCTTCAGTTACAATCAAACCACATACATTAAAAGATCCATGATGAGTAAATACTATGTACGTCATGCATTTTATTATTCTATTGTTCTCTTCTTTGTGGAGTAACTGTAAAGTTAAGCCATATTATTAAGCTTAATGTTTTAAATTTATCTTGATATACTGTGTATGTTACATTGTTGTATAAAATCATACTGTATGGTGCTTTTCCACTGGCGTACAGGAACCAGACCGTACCTGAGCCATACTGGGAAGACACACTAATTACAGCGCAGTTACAGCTTCCTTCCTTCCTTCCTGCAGAAGGGTCAGTTGGGTAAAAACGTTGCCGGGTTTGGAGAGCAACAGTGAAGTAAAACTGAAGAGATGCTTATTTACTGATCATACAGTGAACATCAGGATTTACTATGCGCTAATTTTCTAGCACATCTGCGAGAATTGCCGTGTTCACTTGTGTAAATTTGCGTTTAGCTGTTCATAGTAATTATTTAACTAGAAGGTTGGGAATTTTCCGGTTCTGAGTTATCAGGAATAACATATATCATCCATTGTGCATCATACATAATAGTATCGCACATCATACATCATGATGATCGATACTACTAATAATGTACAGAATATGTGCTTTTTCCTTCAGATAATCCATGTACATAAGACCGGTATCTCCATGTATTTCGACCAATCAGATGGTGGTGACGCAACCAGTTTGGTCACACTTTCAGCCCTACTAGTATGCAGGGCCATGACAGCACGGTTACGGCTTGGATATGGCTCACATATTTTACAATGGAAAACTGCAAATCTGCAGTGCGGCTCGGTTCTTGGTGGCAGTGGAAAAGCGCCAATAGCTGAACAGCTTTTACTGGTTAAAAGTAAAAAGTTTAAAATAAAAAAAATCAAATGTGACTATGACATCCACACAATAAAGAGAAAGGCCATAATTGATCAATTGTACTTGTTAAGAACTATTTATTTTCAATGTACTAATTAATTTATCTCATAGTGTGACCTCAATTTCACATTTTGGGCACTAAGCAACTTCGAAAACAGAAACAAAGGCTTTACAATGACTGAACATCCAACACAGCTGTGGGGGAAAGTTTCCTGGTCATCTGGGATTCCACCGTTCTCTTGCTCCCAAAGCTCGCCAGATTTTGACTGGGTCATCAGAGGACTTTGGAAGACTTCTTAACAGCTCTCCTACCAGTGAGATGGAGCTCTGGAAGAAACCAATAAAGGTTTAAGATGATTATGTAAAGGACTTCCAGGAAATCTGATTCAAGCAATTATAACCACAGATATTAAACTATAACGATGCATAAATACTTGTCATGTAAATGAAAAACCACTCAGACTGTGTTATACATGCTAAGACAAAACAATTAATCAGCTACAAGCCATTTCACTTGTTATGCTTTACCAGCAATAAGCATTATAAAAAATAATGTAAACAGAACCTACAAGTGAAATCATTTATAATCACCATTTATTTTACATTTGCACAAGCACAATGGGGGCAGTGTGTGGCTCAGTGGACTAAGTGTTTGTGAGCGAGATCAGAAGATCAGAAGGTCACCAGTTAGAGCCCAGCTTCGCCACGTCCGCTGGTCCTTGACCCCCAGCTCCCTTAGTGCTGCAACATGTGGTTGCCCTTCACGGCCAGCCTGCTCTCACCTACAGAGAGCAAGCTGGGGGAGGAGTAAAGAGAATTTCCCCACAGGGATCAATAATGTATCATTTTTTTGAACCACTGGTATGATGGAATTTGCCTCTTGAACCTGTCCCATCTCGCTCTCCTTAGTCTGGGAGTCACAGCACAGGGTCAGCCAGCATGCAGGGCCCCTAGGGGTTAGGGGCCTTGCTCAGGGGCCCACAGGCATATGTCGATTCTGCCGAAGACTGAACCGGAGACCTTCCACTCACCGGCATACATTTAGCCCGCTGAGCCACTCACCAATTTAAAATACATCTATAGCCAATTAGCTGCCTACACTTTTAAAAGGCAAGTGTGACGATAAGCACTTGCTTTCTGGAATACCCCAAAACCTGTTTTACTGTTTGTCTCTCTCTTTTTTTTTTAAATTAATAATCCAAAACATATTATCACAATTATAAATATGCAAATCATCCTATTCATACTCATCTGCCAGCAGGGGGTGCTGGCGTAACCTCTTGACAGAGCTGTTGAGTAAAATGCACAATGCAAATCACATGCGACCAAAATGAAGACACTCCCAGTCTAGCATGATAAAATAACACCCCCCGCCCCTCCCCCACAAACAATCAGTGTATTGAAATCAGGGTTAACACTCCCTCTCCTCCCTGAGGCCTACTGAGCCGTACCCAAGTAGGAAAACAGCCCAAGAGGAAAACTCTTACATTATTATAGATGTGCAGGTCCAGTTTCTCCTTCATCAGCTGCGACTCTAGTTGGGTTGTCTTTGTTCTGATGAAGGTATGAATTGCTAGTTTTGCCTGTTGGTCCTGACAAGCTCTGCAGTGAGAGGGAGTGTGTATATCCACCTGAGATAACTTTGGGCCCAGCAAAACACCCATCCAGTGTTGGGGGCAACAAATCCAAAAGAACAGAAAGAAAGAAACCACAACAACTTCAGTCAGAATCTCAGTGTTACCATCTTTAAAGAATAGTGGACTTAAACATAAATGTTATTTCCTCAGGTTATTACAAATTATCCTTGCTTAGCAACAGAGTTCAGTTTCAACAACCAGGTAATTACACGAAATGGTTGGAAAGTGAAAATCACAGTAGCCTAGGTGTGACCAAGACTGCGCTTCATGCTGCGAAGATCACAGGTTGCAGTCAACTCATTCAGATGAATGTGTCATAGAGCTACACTGGCATTACTGTCAAATTTAAGTGTAAATATGAACACTGGTCAGAATTTTTTTTTAATTGTCGTGTCTTCGAATGGTCAGTAAACGAGGCAGCTGCTACACAAGCAGAGGATGTGATGCAGTTTAGGTCACTACTAAGGAACCAAATTTTATCAACCTGTTAAATAAAAATTATAAAAATCAGTTGAGTAAAAATGTGTATTCATATTATATAGCACATGAAAGCAATAAAACATTTTATCAAATGCTTACAGGTTAACTCAAAAAAATTACTAAAACACAAACATGGTTAGACAGACAAATATTCTATGTCAAGGTATATAATAGACGGCAGGTGACAATATTGTTCACTCACTAATCATCATCTTATTGCCTGTGTTTACAGTGGATGCTTGCACTCAACACTGAAAATTACAGAATTAAGACGCGATAAGAATGATTAGAGAGGCTGATGGTAGCACAAACAATTACACGAAGATAAATACATATGCATAGAGTACAAAATTACAATTTCAATTTGTTTTATTTCTTTTGAACCTACTGAGAAAATAATCAGAATTGTGAACCCAGACATTTTGAGGACACGTCACCATGGTAACAAGATTCCAGACACACATACCTGTTTCAGCTGTGCTGTAAAACTCTTGAGCTTCAGTGTAGCTATAAAGTGCCGAGGGACCAGGCAGTCCTCTGGGGCTGCGGACGGCTCTGGGTCCCTTTGCAGGTGACGTGCAGGTAGACTCTGGTTTGGCGATGCTTTAACCCGCCTGACCTTTGCCTGGCAGTATGCTTTCAGAGCTGTGCCCTCTTTAGGAGGCAAACTCCACCTGTCTGCCATAAAGGTGCACCATGAAGAGTCACCAGTGTCTTCATATCACACTCCCAACTAAGCTCATCTCAAGCCTTTGAGGATTATATTTAGAAATGTTTAATTCTGAAATGGACTGTCTAAAATATTGAATAAAAATTCCAAGAAGAAGAAGAATTCCATTAATATGACTGTTATTAACTGAAACACGTAACAAGATTTATTATTAAGAATCATAACTTGATTTGTCAAAAAAAAAATCCTGACGTTGGCAGCATATTATTCTACTGGAAGATGTGTGAAGAGGTCTGCTGGATACTCCACGGAATACTTTCACAACAACCGCTGAAAATTATTAGAAAGGCACTCACGTTTGAGGTCTACATGCGATCATCATGGAGAAGTTTTCTCATATATGCCTCAGAAAACAAACTTGGTTGTTGGAATCAGTTCTAGGAATTCCCATGCAATGTATGCTTCAGCTGTCTTACAGCTGCAACTGCTTTAAATAATACCACACTCAACACTAAGTGTAAAATAGGATCAAATCTCTGTGGTCAGCACCCGTTGTTAAGCAGCAATATTTCCAACTGAATGTCTGATAAATTAAAAAGACTGAAGAGACTCGATTTTAAGATACGGAGGCATTCTGCAACACGCTAAAATTACATGAGCTTATCACATAGTGCATTTGTTATATTGTTTTAAGTTATATTAGAGTGTAACACACAGCCTCATCCTTTATGGCCCTGTTAAACTGATACTGAACGAATTTCAAATTCTACGAAATCGCTGGTTTCATGACTTTACAGCTGTGTTTCATGTCTTGACAATTCATTGCTTTAAACTGAAGCAAACTAACTTTAGCTTTTTAATTAAGGATAAAGATGATCCTATTAAATTAGACTAAGAAGTACACCATCATTAAAAGGGTAACCCCAAAAACCATAATTTACAGAACAATGTTTTATCTAATCTTCTTGATTGTTTTAATTAAGTGTATACAATATGTACACGTGATTGCCCAAAGGAAACGGGATTCGGGCGTTACTGCGTATGACAAAATACAGGAGTAACGGGAACCATGATGCCTGTTCAAAGGTTAGGAACAAATTGTTCAGTCTTATAAGAAAAACGCAGAAGTGTCGGATGAATGTCACGCTCCCGGTTCGTCACATTTCAAGTATCATCACAGCGAACATGCTGATATGCTGAGGAGCGACACTTTAAAAGGCTTAAGAAAAATTAGTCATTATTCCGTAGGAGGCAGCTTGATACCTGTTAGGAGATGGAGCGCCACTTCACTTTGGAAGGGCGGGCATGAATCACCGCCACGGTTCTCCTTGGTCTTCCGGGGCTCGAGAGAGCCGGGACAAGGGACACGACCCGTATTTGGCGCGGAACCGCCGCGGCTCCCCGGCCACGATCCAGAGGCGTCCCTCTCGGCACATGCCGAGGACTCGCTGCTTCCCAAGTACACCACACTGCTCATTATAAAAGATCTAACCTATTTTCAGACTGTCTTCAATATGTGGAGGAAAAAACACACAAGGAAAAATAAAACATCCCGAAATTCAAATTTCAACAAAAAGTGAAGCTTGCCCGAACCACAAATAGGTTTTGTACCTTTCATAAAACTAAGTATTACCTGTAATATAGGCATTGGTAATTAATCGCTTACAGAAAATCCTAGGGCACATTCCCGCAGTTGGCCACTAAAAATGCAACAATACAAACAAAAGGCTACCTGCAGTAAAATATACACGAATGATACATACTTAGAGATAAATCAAATTATTTCGCTGCTTCCATTCATGCTCCACGTGTCCTTGAATAATATGTAACCCAAAGCAGATTACAGAATTGCATATGTTGTTGTTATAGTCTCATCGCAATTAGATTATCTTGCAATTACATCTACACATGTGTAACATCCTCCATTTTGCTTGAAATAAAATAATTAAAATCAACCTACGATCAGTCTGCGCTGTTCTACATAACTTGAAGTAGTAACGCCGGTTGTTTTATAAGGAGGAACCAAACAACCACACGCAGTTTTGCACCATCAAAATAATTCCGTGTTGCACCCCGTTCGTCCAAACTAAGTTCCTATCAGAATTACCAGGGCATGGAGGGGCGGCTGTCCTGCTTTGACGGAAGTTATTTTGTCCTTCTGACCACGGTGTGTGGTGTAGATAGTTTCCAACCATCGTAGCAGTGTAGGAGAATTAAAGCCAGAGCATTATCTGGTGAATGTTGGTAGACGCAGCGGGGTACGGGGCGTTTGTGGCCAGTTCACAGCCGCCAAGGAAAGTGAAGGAGATGGCCTTTTAAAACCTTTACTTGTGAAAAAAAAAACATATTTGCGTTTCACTAGACTTTCTAGAAGTAGAAATAAATACTGTAGTAAAAAGCCAATGGGGCATTCCCGTTTTAAGATTTATGGTAAGGGGAGTTCCCGATTTAGTAAAGAATGTAAAGAATTTCGCGAGCCCAGATACATGGGGACATGGATTAATGGGATTGTACTGCTGACTGCTGACAGGTCAGTTCCAAGAAAAGTGTGGGGTTTATAGAGTGAACGTCTAAATAGAAGATCTGACACCCATTTTACATGTAAATGAAAACAGAGAGACAAAGATATAGAAAGCTTACAAGATAATTAGGGAGTATTGTTTATTTGAAGATAATGAAATATCAGTAATAATTCTTCTGCAGCTTTACAAATATTCTATACGGATTTTTTTAATGGCTGGCAAACGGGAAACAATCAGCTACCATTTCATCTGCATTAGCTGGATCAAACCAGTATGTCTAGATTAAATGCAGATATATACAACTGGGAAATACCTCCAAAATGAAAACGGCACATCGTAAAAATAATTTAAAAAAATGAATTTAAGAAAACCTCCAAAGATTATGCTATCCAATTAATGTCAGAGTAGAGGTATAATATATTACAAATAATGTCATAATTTGACTAAAATCATCATTTTGGTGTGTAAAAAAATTAGAAAAATGGGTGGTCATATTTTGGTCATTGCGGTGAGTTAACTGCTTTTATTTGTGTACAACAAACAAACTGCTTTTATTGGTGTACCACAAACAATCGCAGACTTTCATTCAGATTTCATTTTTTCAATGGATACCTTAATACAATACATGCTACTATAAGATAAGGCTATAGAACTTTTTTTAAAAATGAATGATGGTCATTTACACAATAGTCCATACAGTACATGCATGCACCTGCCCATCCATCCATCCATCCCTCCATCCATCCATCCATCCATCTTCAATAACTAAAACATCTCCAGTGCAGGGTTACAGGGAGCCCTGTAGCCTCTCCTGGAAGCACAGGACAGGAGATAGCAGTCCATTGTAGTCACATTCTATAGGCACTGATCTATCTGACACAAAAATACTGCAATTCAACATACAAATGCTTCAAACTGTGTACTGTATGTTAGAACAGCTTTGCTTGGCACATGAAAGTTAATTCATACAGGAATGCCCAGAGAACACGAGGCAAGTCTTTGCTTTGAGCCTCAAACTGCATAGTAATATTTGTTATGCTTCATTAAAAAAACACACAATAAATATAACTCAGTTAAACAATGTAAACACTTTTTTTCCTGTATATTTCTTTTTGTTTTTTTTTAGAAAACGATATAACACATCAGAAATGCATTTATAATGTATCCACGATGAAGGCTTGCAAGAATACTGGAGACATTTTTCAATGAAATGTCCTTGGGTTAACCTCATGTAGTGTGTTTCAGATAATTCCTCAGCACTGGGGCGAGATCCAGACAATCAATGGAACGCATTTTGTTAGCCATCGGGACATAGCTGCGGATAGCTAGGCGTGCCTGAGACATCAGCGTTTTTGGGCAGACTGTAAAAAAACAGAAATGAGAAGCCTGAGTCAATATACAGTCAGGACCATAAATATTTGGACATAAAGAAAGTTTTTCAATTTTTAAGTTCTGTACATTACAAACATGTCAGATGCAGTTGAAGTGCAGACGTTCAGCTTTAATTCAGTGGGTAGAATAAAAACAATGCATAAAAATGTGGGGAACTAAAGTAATTTTTCTACACAATCCCCTCCTTTCAGGGGCTCATAAGTAATTTGACAAATTAATATAACTGCAAATAAAATGTTGAAAACCCTTTGCAGGCAATGACTGCCTGAAGTCTTGAACTCATGGACATGACCAGACGCTGGGTTTCCTCCTTTTTAATGCTCTGCCAGGCCTTTACTGCAGCAGCTTTCAGTTGCTGTTTGTTTGAGGGTCTTTCTGTCTGTAGTTTAGTCTTTAGCAAGTGAAATGCATGCTCAATGGGGTTGAGATCAGGTGACTGACTTGGCCATTCAAGAATATTCCACTTCTTTGCTTTGATAAAGTCCTGGGTTGCTTTTGCTGTGTGTTTTGGGTCATTGTCCATCTGTAGTATGAAACGCCATCAATTTGGCTGCATTTGGCTGGATTTGAGCAGACATGATGTCTCTGAACACCTCAGCATTCATTCGTCTGCTTCCATCCTGCGACACATCATCAAGAAGCACTAAAGACCCAGTGCCACTGGCAGCCACTGGCAGCCATGCAGGCCCAAGCCATCACACTGCCTCCACCATGTTTTACAGATGATGCAGTGTTCTTTGGATCATAAGCTGTTCCAGCCCTTCCCTATTTTTTTCTTTCCATCATTCTAAACAGGTTGATCTTGGTTTCATCTGTCCAAAGAATGCTGTTCCAGAACTGTGCTGGCTTTTTTAGATGTTTTTTGCAAAGTACAATCTAGCCTTTCTATTCTTTATGCTTATGAGTGGCTTGCATCTTGCAGTGAACCCTCTGTATTTGCTTTCATGCAGTCTTCTCTTTATGGTAGACTTGGATATTGATACGCCTACCTCCTGCAGAGTGTTGTTCACTTGGTTGGCTGTTACGAAGGGGTTTCTCTTCACCATGGAAATGATTCTGCGATCATCCACCACTGTTGTCGTCCGTGGACGTCCAGACCTTTTTGCGTTGCTGAGTTCACCAATGCTTTCTATCTTTCTCAGGATGTACCAAACTGTGGATTTTGCCACTGCTAATATTGTGTCAATTTCTCAAATTGTTTTTTTCTGTTTTTGCAGCATAAGGATGGCCTGTTTCACCTGCATACGGAGTTCCTTTGACCGCATGTTGTATGTTCACACCTCAATCTTCCAAATGCAAACAAGACACTTCAAATCAACTCCAGGCCTTTAATCTGCTTAACTGATAATGAAAGAATGAAGGAATTGCCCACACCTGTCCATGAAATAGGTTTTAAGTGAATTGTCCAGTTACTTTTGGCCCCTTTAAAAAGAGGGTGGCACATTTAACGAGCTGAAACTCCTAAACCCTTCATCCAATTTGAATGTTGATACCCTAAAATGAAGTCTGAGAGTCTGCACTTTATGTCCATGCCCATTGTATAACTTCAGTTGGAATATATTTCAGTAAATAGGTAAAATAGTAAAACTTGTGTCAGTGTCCAAATGTTTATGGTCCTGACTGTACTTCTGAAATTCAGTTTTTTTCAGCTACAAATATATAGAATTTTGTTTTGTATCATTATAGCCATTACGGTTGTATTTTGTATTTATTTTATTTGTTGTTATTGTATAGGCTTGGCTGTTGTAACAATGAAGTACCTACTGACCTATAACCAGAAGCACTGACGATATACACATGAATTGCATGGATTGTGACAGAAGTTAAATTTGCGATGGAATAAAACATCGATATAATCTAAATGAGATGTTCTTACCTCGTTCTTTAAGGAGCTGAACAACGGCTTCATTCTGCTTTGTAGTTTTCTCAATTATGAGAGTGGGCAGGTAGACGTTTGCACCAAAGTCTATCAAGAGCTGAATGTACTCTACTCCACAACCGTATCTAAGACACATCTCCAGAACTGTCTTGGGTTGTTTTATCCTTGCAAGCATTTTCTCCTCCCTGCAGTTGTAATTTGGATCCGCGCCATACAGAAGAAGCAGCTTGAAGCAGTCAAGGTGTCCATAAACAGCTGAAAGGTAGAGAGGGCCAGTGCAACCGGAAGCATTGGAAGCCCATTCTGGTACTTTGGGCCTGACATTAACCTCTGCGCCGTATTGGAGAAGCTCTCTCAAAATATCCACATCTCCTTCACGGGCAGCCATAAGGACCGGAGAACAATTGTTGTATACACTACCATTGGGATCTGCCCCGGCCTTTAGGAGAGCACTGACACAGTCTATATGTTTCCCACTGACAGCTGTAAAGAGAGGGGTCTGCGCCTTCACGTCAAGACTGTCCACCTCGGCTCCATGTGAGAGAAGGACCTCCAGGCACCTCACGTGGCCCCGGGATGCGGCGGTCTTCAGGGGCGTCCCCGGGATTCCCCATCCACTGCGGCTATTGATGAATTTTCTGTACCTGTCCTGGGCCAACAGCTCAGACAGGAGCATCTCGTCGTCATTGGATACAGCTTCATTTAGCTCGCGACATTCTCCATTGTCTGCATCCTCTTCCTCTCTCGGCTGGAGCATAGAGAACATCTTGGAAATGTCCATTAAACTCATGTTTATTGCTTTCTGAAGCACCATTATTCAGAAGAATTTTTTCAAGGCTCCATCTGGAATTACAGGTGGAAACAAAATCAACCATAAATATTGTAAAAAAAAAATTGTTCTGGCAATAAGTCTTGTTATCTCTTAACTTATTGGAAATGAATTATTCCCCAAGAAACAAAGTAATCAGAAATGCAAATTGGAAGTACTTGCCTTCACGGAAATGACTCACTGAACACTCCAGAAAGATCCACTGTAGCACTGAAGTTGGTATCCACTTAATTTTTTGCCATGGCATAAAAAAAGACTTTAAAAGAGGTTTCTTTGTCCAGTAGAACATAAACATGTAAGCTCAGACGAAGTTTGGAACTGGCTTGAAATCTGCACAGCCAGACAGCATGCTTTGGTCATCAGGAGGCTAATTTTAGGTCACAAATGGATCCCCCTTAACTTCCATTCTTGGAGAGCTTGGACAGGGAGAGTATATTTAGACTGCTGATAGGCATGTGTTACTGTCTTTGCATAAATAGGTGACATACTAATCAGAGAAAAAGTTTGACCTTTCTGTATGTATTCCCACTGTAACATTGAAACTTCTACATTATGTTTGTTTTCTGAAGCCTGTTTCGCAAAGCAAGATTTCTTGCTTAGCCAGATAACTTGTAGGATTTAAAGTAATCTGAGCTAAATGCAAGTGAACAAAGATTAAGTCCATTTAAATTGGTTCACCTTAAATCCAATAAGTTATCCTGCTAAGCAAGAAATCCTGCTACGTGAAACAGGCCAGTGATGTGTTTGATATGCTAAGATACTTTCCAGTGAATAATTGAAGAACATGAGGTAAATAAATAGCTCATAGAGTATGAGTTTGGGAGTGTGACTCTGTTCCCTGTGATGGAGTGGCATCCCTGAACAGCCTGGGATAGACTGCAAGCTTACATTGACCCTGAACAGGATAAGCGGTTACAGAGGATGATTGAATAGATGAATGTTTTTTCCCAGTACATGTATAAAAATTATAATAACAAAGGCACAGTACAATGCATTTACCAAAACGGACATGTGACTCACAATTTAGTTTCGTTGTGTCACGACGCCCTGATTGCCGCTGTATCGTTTCCTACATTGAGCTGCCGCTTTAATTATGTCTGCAGCTGCCATGCTTGTAAGAATAGCAGAATGGCTCTGCAATGCTCCTCTTCTTGTCTACTTTGGGGTCCAAAGGTTCTCGTCTTTGACTACAGTCACTGTAGCTGTTTCAATCCTGGCTCATATTTTCCTTAAAGAAGAATACAGAATTTACACGAAGGGGCTCTAAAGGAATTGTAAAAACAACATGACCACTCTGGTTCAATACTAGCTCTATACCTATGGTCAGTGCTTCATAATAGCTATTGCATTTTTAAACCCAATCTAAGCACTGGTGTTTCCTTGTTCAGTCAATGGCTTTATTATGGTTCAGCTGCCATTTTTTTTATTTCTGTGCAAACAAGAAAGGTTTCTGAGATTTCATGACTGGCTTTAAAATTATTTTTATAGATGTATTCCTTTTGTGGGAAATTAAATAAAAGTATGCTGAAGTCATAACAGATACATGAAAGACAGGGTTTAAGCAACCATAAGGTTTATTGCTTGGCAAAAAACTTTAAGTCCATAACTAACAGTATGCTTGGTAGCACTCATTCTGTTGTCCTTATAGACAATTGTCTACATCATTTTCACTTTTTTTTATGTGATTTTGGAGAACAGATTTATGTGTGATTTATCAACATTTATCTCTCCTCATTTGTTTTATGTGCCAAACTAAGTAGCTAACTCTCGAAGTGTCATTACCTCATAAATTACTTAACTGCGACCAGACTGGAGACCATCCAGACTAGTCTGATCACATTATGGATTGACTAATTGGATCTTGTGGCAGCAAAGCTGACTGATACAAAGAACTGTACCGTTATTCACTCACTGTCATGAAATTTAGTTAAATCTTCTGTGCCGGAATTACAGTTTTTGAAAATATACAGTAGGCCTGTTGAAGAGCACATAGTCTTGTATGGTATGCAAATTAACATTTAAAACGATTGAAGTCCATAGTAGCTGAAATTTAGCACAAAATCTATTGTAAATTCTCAGATGTTTTCAGTGGCATAAACTAAATAAACAATGAAAAATATTAACATTATATGATACAAATGAATGCTGAATGCTAAGTAATTGGTCTACATAAATATTTAAGTATTTTTATCTACATGATTTAAATTTTAAAGACTTGCCCTGCCATAGAGCTTGTCCATTACAGCACCAACTTATCTTGGACCCAGAGTTTAATTGCACCAAGAGAAAGGTTCTAATTTCATGGGAAAAGCAATTTCTGATACATACAATACATTAGGGTAAAGTTATTATGGAACTAGCCATTCTTTTGATGTTCCTTTGAAAATACTATAATGGCTAAATATCACACAAGTATGTTGCTTAACTTTTGCTATGGTGTTGGGGTCGGCACCCACCCGTCTGTAAGTCTGAAATGCATAAAAGCACCACATACATTTGTGTACTGCATCAAGGCTTTTTGACTTTGTCTATTTAAACAAAATAAATTAAAACATTTTTCACTAGGCAAGGCATGCCCATACATGTAAGGCAAGATAAGACCAATTCAGTTTATTTATATAATTCACCTGAGGTTTACTTTTCCATATTTTTTTTATTGAAAACGAGAGGCATGCTGTCAAAAGAAAGGTCCAGAAAGCCACACCCAAAATATTAAAACCAATCTTTTCATGGATAAGGAAGCCTAACAAGGTAATCAAGAGGTAAGAAACAAATTGGATGATAAATAATTGTTTTGAGGGTATTTTATGGCTGATTTAAGACACGGGTCGGCACTGACCCGTCTAACATAAGAGACAGGAACAGAGAGCTAACACAGGACTAAGGTTAAGGAGAGTATATACCTGTCACTAGTCACAGAAGATCACTGTCCCCTTTAATAAAATACAATACTGCTGGTTTATCAGACTTTTCTAATAGTCACAAGAGGTTGTACAGCTGTCAGAAGCAATTGGTTTGATGCTAATTTGCTGTCAGGCAATCATGCACAAAATGTAAAAATTACAGACCATTCAAAAAATCATTCACAAACATATTTCTTTTTTCCATTTATTTTGCGTTTGTGACCTTTATCCATGTTATTTTTGCCTGAGGCAGTCAAATTATGTCGCTTGTACTCTGGTAAATTACCCATCTAAGTTGGAGAGTTTATAAATAAATATCCTTGCCGTCCAGAATTTGTTCCAAAGCTACCTGACGCGGGGGCTCAAGCTAAAGTTACATACGTAAGTATCATAAGATGCTTTGTGTTTATTTTGTTACTTGACTAACAACTGATTGAAAAATATTGAATTTGAATCAAATTTAAATGTGTATAGCATTACGCTAATGTGATGTAATATTATTGGCTTAAAATGCAAAATAATCTTCTGGGTATTGTGAAAGGGGAAGATGGGGGAAGGTTCGGCCTGGTACGGGGGATGGGTGGGATGCTAAAGACTTATCAGCTGTTGGCTAATTGTGCTTCTGGAGGGGGGGGGGAAGTTAAAGGATCCTGGGAGGGGGGGGGGGGGGGGGGGGG